TTATCAGCATCAGTCCCTGCTAAAGTTGTCTGTGTATTTATTTGAAGTGGGAGGAGAAGTAGAGGAAGGGAGGTCGAGTGAATGGAGCAGAGGCTTGGGCCTCTGGAGGCCACATTGGCTTCTGATCTAACAGAACCCTGACAGAAAACCAAGACCTACACAAGTGGCTTCTTTCTTACTCTGAGTCGGTTTCTCAGTTCTTACAAAATAGGAATCATTTTTTAAAAGCAAGATGTCTATTACCAATGCTCAAAATATTTAATCGGCTTCTCAAATATTCGTTGACACTGGGTCTCTGCAAAATTGGAGCGTTTCTTTCAGTTTGTAGTTGGGAGGGAGTTCAGCTTGGGAAACCTAAGGACATGTGCCTCTGGCTGTGGAAAGTAGGGCTCTCCTTCAAATGGTCCATTGTCAGAGGAATAATTAAACTGGTTCATTGCAAACAAAGCCTCACCTTTAAGCGTGCACTTCCTCCCCGTTGCTGCCTGTCTTCATCCCAGTTCCAGCTTGTCTCAACAAGTTGCTCATTCCAAACTAGTATGTACCCCCCCCCCACAAAAAAAAGGAAATCTCCTCTTTGCGCATCTTTATTCCTAGCGGTGGAGAGTGTGCAGTGGCCAGGATGTCTGTTACCTTTTTCTGTCCTGTTCCTTCCTTCATTCTCAGTATGTGCTTTTCTGCTGTAGGAGTGAAAATTACCTCCAGATGGGTGGTATGGTTTGCACAGCAGGAGGAGTCCTCAGATTCTGTGCTGATTTGTCATTAGTATTTATGTGGTAGTCTGGCCCATCTTGGGCTGTGATATTTAGAAAAGGAATCTGTTGGTGTCGTAGATAAGTTGTATCCCATAGCTAAAAAACAAAGTGTTTGGGGTACCAGCAAAGAAAAATCAGAGGATGGAAATGAAAACTCCTTGACAGAAATCTTTTAAAGAGAAATTCCATGCTACCCTCAATTGTTTAGTCCCTCGTCTCTTTGTCTAATGGTTGCTTTTCCCTTCCCAAAACTCAGGCCTGGATTACTCCCACCAGCTTCCCCTGCTGATCCTACTTCTTGCAAATCAGAGCTGGGGGAAGTTACATGACCATAGTAAATAGGACCCTCTCTGGAGCAGAGCAGTCCTTTTATTCCTCCCTAATTGATAGCTGAGCTCCCTTACCACAAAAGCTTTTCCAGGCTTTCTCTTCTCTCTTTAACCTTCCACACCTCCCCATCGTCTCCCAGCCAAGGACCCACCTCCTACTTTATTGAGAAAATTGGGGCTGTTTGGTAGGAGCGTCTTCATCTCCCTCCTCTTCAGCTTCAGCTTGAAAATCTGTGACATCATCCCCCAGTCTTTCTCCTTTTCCTCAGCCTCTGACAATGAAGTGGCTTTTCTTGTCAAGGCCAAGCCCTCTATATGTGTCTTTGATCCCATATCTCTTCTGACTTCTTAAGCAGAATGCCACAGTCAAAAATCTTCCCCTCTCTCCCTAATCTTCAAACTCTCCCTATAGACTGGTTCCCTCCCTTGTGCTTTCAAACTTGTCCTTGGACTCTACCATTCCTGAAAGCTATCATTGTATAGTGCATTTCTCCTTCCTTTTTCAACCACTCATTGCATCTACTTTTCTTTTTTCTTACTTCTCAACTTTATATAATCTGGTTTCTGACTTAATCACTTAACTGAAACAGCTTTCTTTAAATTTCTTATGATCCTTTACTTGTCAAATCTAACTTAGACATCTTTTCTCAGTCCTCATTCTTTTTGACCTGTTAGCTTCTTTTGACACTAGTGACCATCCTCTCTTCCTGGATACTCTTACTCTCTCCTTTCTTGGTCTCCCCCAATTAATAAACATCAGTATTTTCTTTCCCTTACTGCTCCACCCCCCCATTGGGAAAAAAAAAAAAGAAAACCAAAACCTTTGTAGGAAATATGCACCATTTTTTTTTAAACAGGTAAAGGAGATACTTTTTTTTTTTTAAATTCCTATTAAACATATTTTCACATTAGTGATGTTGTAAGGAAGAATTAGAACCAATAGGAGGAACCACAAGAAAGAGAAGACAAAACAAGGATAAACTATTTACACATATGAGGAGATGATACGTGTGTCCCCTCTGAACGGTATCATCATCAGGAGCCAGAGTCTAATTAGACAGAATGCCTAGGAACGTTCCAGAAATCTATGCAAACAAGGAGAAAGGATTGGAGGGATTGGGTGACATTTGAACCTCACTTTCCTGTGAACTAGTCAAAGGAGGGAAGAACACACCCAAGCACAGAATTGGCTGCAGAAATACATTTCACTCCACAGGGAAACAGGAGAGAAAGAGATGACTGTGACGAGGAGATTCAAAGGACGGAAAGGAGGAGAGCCTCTGACTGGACTCTTAGAGAGAGAAAGAGAAGAGAAACGAAGGAGCAGCAGCAGAATTCATCAAACCTAGAGCACTGGTGCTGAGCACATTCCTTTTCTCTCACCAACCTCTCCTTCTTTGCAAAGAGGGAAAAAGCAAACTCTGATCTAGGTAATGATTAACTGTTACAATAAAAAATACTACCCACTTCCTACCTGAGAGGTGACGGACTCAGGATGTAGACTGAGACATATCTTTTGGACGTAGCCAGTGTGGGAATTTGTTCAGTTTGACAATGCAAATTTGTTGCAAGGATTTTACTTTACTTTCTTTTTTAATGGGAGAACAGAGAGGGAGAAAAAGCAGATTTTTGTTCATTAAAAAAAAAATTAAAAAAAAAAAAGGTGCACTTCTAGGGCTGTATCTCAAAGAGAATGGGAAAGGGACCTATATGTATAAAAATGTTTATAGCAGCTATTTTTGTGGTGGCAAAGAATTGGAAATTGAGGGGATGCTCTCAATCAATTGGGGAATGGCTGAACAAGTTGTGGTATATGAATGTAATGGAATACTGTTCTATAAGAAATGGCGAGCAGGCAGACTTCAGAAAAACCTGGAAAGACTTGTGTGGACTGATGCTGAGTGAAATAAGCAGAACCAGGAGAACGTTATGATTGGTCATTTGTGATGACCTTTTAAAATCTCTCATGACTTCTCTGTTTGGACTTCAAAATTTCTATTCATCTCTGCTATTTTCATTAGAAATCCTTGGAAGTATTTTATTTTATTAAAGATTCATTTTCCTCACTGTATGAATATACTCAGCTTTGCTGGATAAGTTATCCTTAATTGTAAACCTATATCCTTTGCCTTCTGGAATACCACCTTCCAAACTCTCCATTGCTTTGTAGCAGTGGCTACTAAATTGTGTAGTTCTGACTGTGACTCATAGATACCTAAATTCTTTCCTTCTGGCTGCTTGCAGTAGTTTACTTTTGATCTGGATGCCTTGGATTTTGGCAGTGTTGTTCCTGGGAGTTTTCATTTTAAGGTTACTTTCAGATGATGACCAGTCTTTCTATTTCCACTTGGTCCTTTGGTTCTAAGAGATCTGGGCAGTTTTCTTTGAATATTCCTTGACACCTATGCCTTTTTTTTGGTCATGACATTCTTTTTTCTCCTTCATTTGTTTTCCAGATCAGTTGTTTTTATTATGGGTATTTATTTCTGAGTATGATTTATATATTTAGTATTATTTATGATACTTATGAGTATTATTATTAGTATCTTATATTTTCTTCAGTTTTTTTTCCAGCCTTTTGATTTTGTTTTAATATTTCTTGTTGCCATGTGAGGTTATTGATTTTCAGGTTTTGTATCTCTTGTGCCAAGCTGTTAATTCCTTTTCTAATTCTTTCTTTGATAGCTCTCATTTCTTTTCCAATTTATTCCTCAAGTGCTCTCATTTGACTTATGAGACATTTCTAAACTCTACTTTTTAAAAACTCTTCTTTCATCTCTTCCAGGAATTCTGGTTGAGTTTGTGACTAAACTGTTTTTCTCTGAGGCTTTGCTTGTAGATGTCTAGGAGTCATTCTCTTCTGTATTTGTGTCTTTGATGGTCCCTGCTGTTATAAAATAATGAGACAGTTCCTGCCGTCAGGTAGCTCACACACTAATTGGAGAAGACAACACATATTAAAAGAACCAGCCACTGGGCAGATGGAAAGGCCTGGGGGCAGATGGAAAGGCCTGGGTGCAAATGGCGTGGTGGTCCTTCATCTTACTGGAAGGTTTGCAGCTCTCGATTACCAGCTTAGTCAAGCAGTAGGAACATTTTTGTGTCTGTTCCTTCTGGACTTCCCTGATGGTGTCTGAGCAGCCTTGAGGGAAGGCCACAAATGAGGATATCCATTCTTCCAGCCCAGTGCTCAGGATTGTGTAGGGATGGAGCTGAGGGAAGATAGGGAGAGGGGACACCCTGGCCTTCTTCCTGCTCATACTTTAATATGTCCCACTACTTGAACTAACTAGTAATAATTTATTTTTAAGTAGAAGTCTTACCAAACGGGTCATGTGGTCCAGCGTCATTATTTTAATAAATGAGACTAAGGCTTCAGTAACATGCTCAAGGTTATAGTGGGAAGAAGTGGCAGAGAGAGATTTGAATCCAGGTTCTCCAAATATTTATGTACATACACATACATACACATCAGCCTGCCCTGCCCTGCATATGTAATGAGTAACAAATGTCAACCTACAGTTATTTTTTTAAGATGTTCTTTTCAACAGGTTAACACTATTTAAGACAAATACCAGCCTGGTATATTCTGTTCTCAATATCAAAATAAATTTCATTCCAACCAAGTTGAATTATCAAAAATTGTAAATTAGTAGAATTTAAAATGATATATTATTTCATAATTGAGAGCCATTTCCAGACCTGATTGGTCAACTCTGGTGCTTAAGGTTAATGAGGTTCCTTACTCCTGTCCTCAGGAGTCATTTGTTCTGACTGTTGTTTTGCGTTTGATTCTTCTGTATTTTTCAGATCTTCCTGTTAGGAGATCCATCAATAAATTAAGAACCCCAGGGTATTAAGCTAATGATCTGGGTGGCATTGGACATCTGAATTTTGTTTTTCATTTGGTTTCCAGGTTGCCATCACAAAAGCCAAAGTGGATTTCTCCAGCGTCGTGTGCCTGCCCCCTTCCGTCGTTGCTGTAAATGGCCTGGACGGAGGAGGGGCTGGCGACAATGATGATGAGCCGGTGCTGGTGGCCCTGGCTGCCGCACCCAGCCCCCAGAGTGAAGCTGTTGCCAATGAGCTTCAGGAGCTTACCCTGCAGCCTGAGCTGACCCTAAGCCTCCATCCTGGCAGGAATCCCAACCTGCCTCCACTCAGCGAGCGGAAGAATGGTGAGTAGAGACATAGTTCGGTTGCCTTTTGGTGGAGTTTGCTCAGTCAGACCTTCATGTCACGGGAACGCGGGTTTGGTGGGAGTGACCTTAGAAGTGAAGAGGATTTAGAGGTAATAGGAGTATAGACCACAGAGACGAGAAGGTCCGTAAAGATTCTAGGAGCGTAGAATTGAAAGACGTCAGGGCCTTAGATGACCTTATGGGCTCATAGGAGATAGAGACAGAGCAGATTTTAATTTATTTGTGTCCTTGTGAACCCCCTTGTCTGTATGGTGATGCACATGAGCCCCTTCTCAGAAAAAGAATTTTTTAAAAAAAAATTCATAATTAAAGGAAAGGCTAAATTTCAGTTAGAGGTTAGCGAAGGAAAATATATATATATATATATAATTTTTTTTTTCTTTTTTCTTTTCGTCCCAATCCAAGTTCATGGACCTCTTGAAATCTGTCTATAGACCCCCTAGTCATCTGAGGCCCCTAGATTAAGTACTTTGGTCTTAAAGATAATAGGATTAGAGGGTTTATTTTTTTTCCTTGAAATTTTTTAAAAAGTTGTTTTATTGACACTTTTTGTTTTTAACACCACAACGATTTCCAGGTGTATTGCCATTCCACAGTGGGCCTTCAGTCGTAACGAAGGTGAAAGAAAAACAGTAGTTCATTAGCTCTGTTTGGTAACTTACACAGCATTGCACACTTCTCCAATTAAAAGAGGGAGCTACATTTTCTTTTCCCTAGTACCAAATTTAGACATTATAATTCCATAACATTTAGGTGCACTTTATTGCTCTTCTATTATTTTATTGCAATCATAGTATAAATTAGTTTTTTTGGTTCTGTTTACTTCATTTTGTATCCATTTGTCTAAATCTTACCATTCTTTTCAAAATCCCTCCCACATCTTAACAGTGTAATAATATTCCATCACATCCACGTACCCCAGTTTGTTTGGCTATTTCGAAATCAATTAGCATCCACTTCATTTAAAAAATTTTTTTATTTAATATCATAAACTTGACAAACATCAGCAAACATGAAACTTTCCTTATGCAAAGAAACAGAGAAAAGATTGCATGTGACACTGAATCTGTTGTCTGCAGCTTGATTTTTTAAAACTGTACGTTAAACTTCATATGATAGGTCTAGCCCTCTCTTGCTTATCTGTGTCTCTATCTCCACTTTCTCATTTCTGTTTGTTTAATAACCGCAAAAAGTGTTCCTCCGATTCTTCTGTTACATGTGGAGCTTTTAGTTCTGCCTTTGGCTTCCGTGGGGTATATTCCTAACAGGATGTAGAGGTGAAAGGGTATGGGCATTTAGGCACCGCTTTACATAATTCCAGGTGGTTCTCCAGAACAGCTGGGTCACTTCACAGTGTTCTTTCCGGTAGCCCCTGTCACATCAGTCATTCCTGGCTCTTTGTCAGTTTGCTTGGTGTGAGGTGTAACCTCCGAGTTGTTTCAGTTTGTCCTTAGGTTATTGTTGTTGATTTGTAGCAGTCTTTCACACACATGTTCATAGTTTTTATTTCTTTTAAAAACTGTTCATTCCTTGACCAGTTATCCATTGGGGAATGACTTTTGGTCCTTCATATTTGTGTCAATTCCGTGTTTATCTTAGATATCGGACCTTTTTCAGAGATAGTTGATGCAAAGATTTTTTGTTCTCCAATCAACAATTTCACTTTTGATCCTAGGCACATCGTTGCTTTTGTTTGACTAGACCAGATGCGATTTGCATGAAAGCTCTTCAATTTTATGTAATTAAAATGATCTTTTTTATCTTTTGCAATCTTTTTTTTTGCAATCTACTCTTACAAGCTTTAGAGACTTAAGGGACTTTAGTGTTCACAGGACATACGTGGAGCTAGAAGGGATTCTGGAGATCTTTGGATCCTGGGGACTTTGAGTTTGATTTGACATAGTCCAAGCTCCTTATTTCACAGATGAGGAAACTGATGAGTGAAAAGAATTTACTTCAGGTTAGTCACAGAGGAAGTAGGAGAGCTGGGATTTGAACCCAGGTCCTGTGACTCCACATTCAGTGTACCTTTAGTAAAAGTTTTCACGTCATTTCATATTTAATAATTCACAGTTTTCACTAGGAGCCACATGCATAGAGTCCGTAAGGAACCTAGCGTTTGTTAAGCACCTGCTGTGTTCCAGGTACTGTTCTGTGTGCTGAGAATACAAAAAAAGGCAAAAGAGAGTCTGCGCTCTCAGGTGCTCACAAGTCCAGTGGGCAAAACGACATGTAACCAACTCTGTACAAACAAGATAGAAGATAGATATGGGGCAGTCTCAGAGGGAATGCACTAAGAATAAAGAAGGCGGGAAAAGCTTCTTGCAGAAGGTAAGACTTTAGCTGAGACTGAAAGGAAGCAGAGATGAGAAAGAAGAGAATCCCAGGCATGGGGAACAGCTGATGAAAACATTTAAGATTTGAGAGGTGGAGGGCCTTGTTCAGGAATGGCAAGGAGGCCGTGTCACTGGATCATCGAGTGTGTGGAGGGGAATAAGGTAGAAGAAGACTAGAAAGGTAAGAAAGGCTCAGGATATGATGGATTCAGTAAAATTATTTTGTTTTTTATTTTATTTAGGCAATAGGGAGCCGAAGGAGTTTGGTGATGAGGGACCTACACTGTGATCACTTTGATATCTGAATGGAGGATAGACTGGAAAGAGGAGGGAATTGTGGCAGTGAGACCACCTAGACAGCAAACAACAGCATTGAAATAGTGAAGGTGTGAGGTAATGACAGCTTGTATCTGGGTGACAGCAGTGTCAGAAGAGAGAATGGCTGGTGTGTGAGAGACAGCGCAAAGATAAAATCGACAGACCTTAGAAACACTGGATAACAGGGTTGTTGTTTTTGTTGTTCAGTGCCTGACTCTTTGTGACTCCATGAACCACAACACCCCAGGCTCTTTAAGTATTGACTGACTTAATCTCCTTGTTGTCCAAGGGACTCTGAAAAATCTTCTCCAGCACCACAATTAGAAAGCATCGTTTCTGTGGCACTTAGCCTTCCTTCTAGTCCAACTCTTACAGCCATGCATTGCTGCTGGAAAAACCATAGCTTTGACTATATGGACCTTTGTCAGCAAGATATGAGGTCTCTGCTTTCTAGTATGCTGTCCAGATTTGCCATAGCTTTCCTTCCAAAGAACAAATGTCTTTTAATTTCAGGACTGCAGTTGCCCTCTTCTGTGATCTTTGAGCCCGAGTATAAAATCTGACACTGCTTCCATTTCTTCTCTCTTTATTTGCCAGGAAGTGATGGGACCAGTTGCCATGATCTTAGTTTTTTTGATGTTAAGCTTCAAGACAGCTTTTATACTCTGTTCTTTCATGCTCAAGAGACTTTTTCATTCTTCACTTTTTTTTTATTAATTTATTTTGATCTATCAACAATCACTTCCATAAGCTTTTTGAGTTTTAAATTTTTCTCCCTCTCCCTCCCCACCTCCCTGCCCAAGATGGCATGCAATCTGATATAGGCTATACATGTACATTCCTATTAAACATATTTTCACATTAGTGATGTTGTAAGTGAGAATTAGGACCAATAGGAGGAACCACCAGAAAGAGGAAACAAAATACAACAGAAGAAAAAAATAGCAAATAGTCTGCTTCGATCTGCAGTCAGACTCCATAGTTCTTTCTTTGGATGTGGGTAGCATTTTCCACCATGAGGCCTTTGGAGATGTCTTAGATCCTTGTATTGCTGTGAAGGGTTAAGTCTTATCAATATTAGTCATCGCACAGCTTGATGTTACCGTGTACAACGTTCTCCTGGTTCTGCTCATTTCACTCAGCATCAGACCATACACTTCTTCACTTTCTGTCACCAGAGTGGTATCATAGGCATAACTGAGATTGTTGATATTTCTCCCCGCAACCTTAATTCCAACTTTTAATTTGTTCAGCCTGGCATTTCCTGTGACGTACTCTACACATAATTAAATAAATAAGGTGACATTATACAACTTTGTCATATTCCTTTCCCAGTCTTAAGCCAATCAGTTGTTCCATCTTGGGCAGGGAGGTGGGGAGGGAGAGGGAGAAAAATTTAAAAGTCAAGAAGCTTATGGAAGTGATTGTTGATAGGTCAAAATAAATTAATAAAAAAAAGAAAGTGAAGAAGAATGAAAAAGTCTCTTGAGGATGAAAGAAGAGAGTATGTTTGGTTCTAACTTTTGCTTCTTGGCCTATATACAGATTCCTCAGGAGACAAGTAAGATGATCTGTACTCCTGTTTCTTTGAGGACTTGCCACATTTTGTTGTGATCCACACAATCAAAGGCTTTAGTGTAGTCAATGAAGCAGAAGTAGATTTTTTTTTTTTTTTTTGGAACTCCTTTGCTTTCTCCATAATCCTGCAAATGTTGGCAATTTGGTCTCTGGTTCCTCTGCCTCTTCAAAAATCAGCCTGTTTTTCTGGTAGTTCTTGGTTCACATATTGCTAAAGCCTAGCTTCCAGAATCTTAAACATAACCTTGCTGGCGTGTGAAATGAGCACAAATGTTTGGTAATTTGAACATTCCTTGGCATTGCTCTTTTTTAGGATTGAGACATAAACTGGTCTTTTCCAATCCAGCGGTCACTGTTGAGTTTTCCAGATTTGCTGGCATGTTGAGTGTAGTACTTTAATCTTTGGGGATTTTAAACAGCCCAGATAGAATTCCATCACCTCCACTAGCCTTATTGTTGGCAATGCTTGTAAGGCCTGCTTGACTTCGTTCTCCAGGATGTCTGGCTCCAGATCAGTAACCACATTATCGTGGTTATTGGCGATGTTAAGATCTTTCTTGTATAATTCTTTTGTGTGTTCTTGCCATCTCTTCTTAATCTTTTCTGCTTCTGTTAAGTTCCTACCATTTTCTTGAAGAGATCTCGTCTTTCCTATTATGTTGTTTTCTTCTATTTCTTTGCATCGCTCATTTGAGAAAACCTCTTATCTCTCCTTGCTATTCTCTGGAATTCTGCGTTCAGCTG